ATAAAGTTCCAAGTGAGATCAGACATGAAAGTGATTTGAAGAGTTAAAAGCATTGAGTAAATGTAAGGTATTAGTGCAAGTGATCAGATTAAGCTGAAAATATCAGCTTGGCATGATGTTTTCTTTTAATGACTTAGTGAGTTTGACCATATGCACACAGCCTCTTGTGTGGGTCTTTCCCCAAGGTCCACCTCAACCAGTCTTGAGGGCAAAATTCAGAATACTGATTTTTATTATTTTTGTGTGGGCATAATTCACATTTGGTTCTACTATTTATGGCCTCTGGAGAAGTTGAGTGATTCTCACTCTGCTACTTTCTGTGGTTTCCTGGGACATGTTGCCATTCTGTAAATGATGTTTTAGTTATTTTTTTGTTATCATGCCATGAGGCCTGCAGGCGCTGGGCACCAGGTGCTGAAAAATTAAAAATTATCATCCATCACCATCATCAAAGAAAGGTGGTGTAAGATGGTTGCAACAGGTCCCAAATTTCCTTAAGGAATTTGGACTCCTGTCAATTTAGCTCTTACTATGATGGAAGCTAAGAGCTTAAGTTTTGCCTTTCTTGATACCATAGTTTCTCCACTCCCATGCTACCATCATAGTCACAAAATTTTTTGGTGCAAAAATTCAGTAATTCTGTATGCTGTTCTCAGTGTTGAACACACAGTAGGTGCTTAGAAAAGCTGTCAAATGAGACTAGTTATTTCTTGTACTTGGAGTGTGGCTCCTAAGAATAGCATATTGTTTGGAAGCTGAGTTTTTATCAACCTAGAGACCTTCATTAAGACTTCCTGTTGCATATTTTTAATTGAGTTAGTAGCAGAAGAATATTTTTAGCATTGAAGTGATTATTCTGTGTAGCAGATACATGTGTCTAAATATGCTTGGTTTTCTATATAGGGAAAAATCTAACTTCAGAGTAGAATTCACAAGCATTAAAGTATCAGGTAAGAACAAATTGGGGAAAACATTTAATACAGACTTTTCATCTCTAATGGGTAATGAATTTTGCCCCTTCATGTCATTTTTCCCCTTCCATATGTTTCTTTTGTTTTATCCTTTTGAGGGGTGAATAGGCAAACTTTTCAGTTTATTTGGGTGTTTGTAGTTTCTTATTATAGTTGAATGAAGTTACCTAAACTGAAGTTCTTAGACAAGTCACTTAACCTCTTTGGGTCTCAGTTTCCTCATCTGTAAAATGAAATTAGATTAGATAATCTTCAAACATCTCTTCCAAGGGGGCAGCTACATGGCGCAGTAGATAAAGCACCTGCCCTGGAGTCAGGAAGACCTGAGTTCAAACCTGATCTCAGACTAGACACTTGACAGTTACTAGTTGTGTAACCCTGGGCAAGTCACTTAACCCCAATTGCCTTGCAAAGAAGAAAGAAAGAAAAAATCTCTTCCAGGTATAATATCCTATCATCTATAATACTTTACCCAAACTATCATAAAAAGAGACAAGCTCTGAAAGAAAATGGTGGTTTCAGAAATTTACGATAAACATTTAAGGATGTATCAAAGAGCACAATTTCAGATTAGAACCCTAGCTAGATTATAAGAAATCTGGGAAATATTTCCAAGTGTCCAAATCAAACTCTCGTGTTTTTGAGGAAAGAGTACATAGCAAAATCTTTCTGTTAACATGTAGCAAGAATTACCTGAGGTAAAAAGCAGACTTTGTCTAATGTGACATATAGAAAATATAGTTTGTACACTGTGACTATTTATTACTGACCTAGTTTAAGGTGTGCATTATAAAATATACATAATTCATGGTAATTGCTAGTAAAGTCATTTATCTTAGAAAGAATTTACAGTGGGTATTTGAATACACCTCCTAATCCAGATTTGGTCCAAAGGACTCCCAAATTTCTATAAAATATCAATAACCTTGAGCTATTCTTAAAAGATTTTTCACACCCTCCAAAATAGGTATTGTAAAGCCAAACTCATCAATATGATACAAATAAAAGATATGGGAAAAGGTAGAAATGTTTTAAAGTAAGCTAATTTGTTCAAACATCTTGCTAGACACAGACACATCAACCAAGGGGGAAGAAACAATTCTGATTATTCTTCTGCTACTTATGCTATTAAATTCTGTTTCTTTTTAATTCTACTTTGTACGTTTACCTTTAGTGTGACTTCACTGTTTTTTCAGTGTTTTTCTACTAAACATTTCAAATACAGAGACCACTTGTAAAAAGTCATACAGCATTTCTACAGAAACTGCATATTATCTCATTCAATTAAGGCTTGCTTAATGATCCTCAATGCCCTAAGGGTTCTCTTAACCTTGAAATACTCATTTAGCATGCTACAGTGTAAACAGAGATTGGTTTCCTTTCTCTATAGGTTTTCTAAGTACTGAATCAATAGTCATCATTTCCTCAGCAGAATCACCACCACCATTATCAATCAAAATATACTGCATGCCACCCATCCTCTCTGCCTATGGAAACAAAATTCTTCTACCAGTTGTGTTGTACTGGCATCAGCAAAGTCAAATGAAGGTTTGTGGCTTCCATTTTAAGTTACAGCAAGATTATAGCTTTGCATAGATACACAGAAGTTGGAGATGTGTAAACATCTCAAACAGATCAATTTATGTTTCTTTTTTACACGATTGTCAAATATTAATTATATATTTTTAAGGAGAAAAGGGAAAGTAAAATGGTACACAAGATTAAAAAGTAGGTGCAGTAAATGGTATCTCTACTTGAGGTTTATATATTACCTTCCTTCTAAATGAATTCTAAGTGTTTTTTGTTTTATAAAATAATGAAACATTTATTTCCTCTCTTCTACTCCCTTTACTTTTCACATAAAGAAAATTTCTTAGCCATTTGGAAATGAGCCAGAGAACTCCCAATGGGTAGAATTTGCTCATCTGCATTTGAGAATAAATCTTTTGTTTACTGCTAATCTTAGTTTGTGGTAATAATTCTTTGTCAGGTAGCCTCAGATTTTTCCATAAATTGTTTTAGTTCAAACTGAAAGATTCCATATCTTAATTTTGCAGTGATCCCTGGAAAACATCTCTGCTATTAATTTTCTGGCTATGGCCTATGTTATGAATTTACTAAAGTTAAACAAAAGCTCATTTATCCGAAGTACAATTTTTTTTTCCACTTACTGTCTTAATAAGATGCAGGTTTGCAGGAATTTCCTATATTCACTGAAGACTAAATGGTTTCCAGTACTTTATATGCTATAATGTCTTGGTCAGTGCACAAATATAAATTTTCAATCTAATTATAGCACAGTACTACTTTCACAATGAAACTGACACCAAACAAAAGCATCAAGTTGTTTAAGATTGTTCTAGTTGAAAAGAGCCAAATTGGTAATTTGCATTTCTAATAGTACTAGTGATTTAATTGCTGGAAAGAATTATTCTCCCATCTGCCTTCCCCAGATAAGTTGGCAACAGCAGAAAAGGAAATCCTTAGGATTTCCTATGAAATAAATCAATCTTGTGGAAGTGATGTGAGCAAAAAACATGAAATCAAAATTCAGAAAAAATATTTTAAAATATTTTTTAAAAATCCAAAGATGGAATATTTTTACTTTTAGTAGTATCAACAAAGTGCTCTTCAAATTATTTACTATATTCTCAACCATAGAGTCCTATGTTGCTAATATGTGTGACCTGAAAAATCTGAAATTAACAGCACACATACTATTTCCACCCGGGCTTTGAGATTTTTTTCAAAGGCCAAACCTCTTTAACTAATTAATTATTTTAGCTTAGAACAATTAGCAGGGAAAAAGAAAAAAAATATACCAGAACATCATATTTAAATCTTGATTCCTGGTATTAAAAGGTTTCTAAAATCAAGACACACATTTTGGTCTATGTGAAGCATTCTGTAGACCCAGGAGGGGTGTAATTAATTAGTTAACTTACTTAATAACCTATGCACAATTAGAGGTTTGATAGTTTTTGATATTAAAAATAGTGAAAGTGGTAATGGTGGTGATGATCATGACATTATATCATTAACATAATCTTATTTAGTTAAATGTTTTCTTGTTTTTATGGAACTAAGTATCTCAACATTAAAACAATTATACTTTTTATAACAAAGTAGTTGATTTTGGAGAAGCGTCAATGAGATTTGCATGAAAATATTTTGGACTTCCTGACAAAGCAAAGGAAACATTTGAAAATAAGATAGTTGTCCAAAGAACATAGCATTTAACAATCCCTTCCTACTGAGCTCTGTTTTTTGTAAAGACCTGGGTTTAGATCCTGTTCAGACAGTAGCTATGTGATCATGGCAAATCACTTAACATCTCCAGCCTTCAGTTCACTCATCTGCAAAAAATAATGGGGCTGCACTCAAGGACCTCTAAGGTTCCTCCCTTTCACCTCTAGATCAATGATCCTATGATCCAAGGGTATTAAACCATATGTCCAAAAATCAGGAACACAGTGATGACTGAGTACAAAGAGGCTCTATACGTTTACATGGGGGAGTTAGGCGGCACCAGAGTACACAGAGCACTGGGCCTCTAGTCAGGAAGACATGCTTCAGTTAATTACTAGCTGTGTGACCCTGGGCAAGACACTGAATCTTGTTTGCCTCAGTTTCCTCAACTGTAAAATGAAGGAACAGCAAACCACTTCAGTATCTTTGCCAAGAAAACCCCAGATGTGGTTACGAAGAATCAGACATGATTTAAAATGACTGAACAGTAACAATACATTTACTGACCTTCCTCTACCCCACTGGATATTTCAAAACACATTTGCACATGTTCTTACTCAAATATTTGGGAGTTTCTAGGTGAACTGCAATTGTTTGATCAAGAAACGGAGTGATTAAATCATTGAAGCTGATTTTGACTATGTGTTTTTGTTTTTGTTTTTTTTAATTACGGAAGTATTGGCCTGGGCTTAGTATTTAATCAATAAGAGCAGCACATGACGTCAGTTCAGCTACAGTCCTTTAGTTTAATAGCCATCACACCAGTAGTTCCTTTCATGCTGTTTTTATAGATAGATGAACTATCCAAAAAGTTTATTAACAAACATGTACAGTAAGTTGCATCATTGGCTTTAATTTAAACATCTAGTACAGTTTTTTTTTCCATTTTACAAAATGTTCTTGGTTAAGACAATGAAGAGGAAATACATTTACACTTCTAAGCAATCACAGGGTTCAAGCTCAATAGTTATTCAACACAATAGCAGCTTTGGGAACAAAAAGGGGTACAGTTAATGTGTTTCAGAAATAAATGTATACACCCCAAATGAATGTCATAATGTCTTTCAAAAGACCAATATACTCTTAGAAAATACTTTTGTTATACAAAAATTAAAAATCCTGGGTTATTAAAGGTTCTCAAAATTCAATGTGTAAATCAGTTAGAACCTGATATTCTGTAATGCAAATAGTGAAAGTAGTGATAATCCAGGCCTCTGTGGTAAGGTGAATGAAAGAAGAAAATATCTTAAATCCTTGCAAGTCTAATTCTTAATTGCATATAAAAATGTTACTAATTACCTCCAAGTACTTTAGCTTAGCAGGTTGTACTGTAGTCAAATGCACTAGTACGTTTGGTTGTATTATGTACAAAGCTTAAGGGACCATGCTATCCTGCTTTTAAAGAGAGCAATAACATAGGTTTCCTCGTCAAGCAGAATTCTCACTTGGCCATTTTATCATGTCACCTTCAAGTATACATCAGCTAATAAGATGGTAAACTTGTTTCTGCATTGGAATAGTGAGAGTACTTTAATTCTGAAAGAAATACAAAGCTGTTTTTTTAAAAATGTAACTTTAAAAAATCCATCATTTCTGAGGAGAAAATAAAGTATTTTATTCTTTGAATTTCTAGCAAGTATTTAAGGAGGCCTCATTAGTAGTTAAGTAGGAGGAAACTAAAAGCTTTAAGATAACGGAAAAATGAAGTGGTCAGGCTTTTGTATAGAAATATTCTCAAAAAGAGACACCTTGAAGAGAGTTTATTTACAAATTTATCACAGTAATTTACATTTTAATGCTTAATCATATTAAGCTGGGTTAGTGTTGCTCTAGTTAAGAATTCTCATACATAAATCATCTAGAAAAAGATACTTTGACTACTACTTAAGTAATGTATTATGATTTAAGTTTTTCATAGTAGAAAGAAGAATGCCTGATTTTCAATCAAAGAAACATGAACCTGATTTTCCTGTTGATACATTAAAAACTAGCTTTGAAAGTCTCAGTAGCATTATTTCATTATTCTGTTTTAAATTCAGAACAGCAAAGATGAATGCATTTTCCCCTCTAAAGAATGATATGCAGTGGCCCATAATTTGATCACTATGCTCATCTTGAAATAAGAGAAGTATTCGTTATACTAGTCGGACAAGCTAGCATGAAGTACTTCTTTGGCAAACAAAAGGTAAGTTTACCTTTTACAGATGCCCAACTGAAGACAACTGATATGGGTTGGAGATAAGATACAGGAATTTAAGATACAATTAGTCAGAGCATACCTTTACTGCATCAACCTATTTATTTTTCTCTTTAAAGATTGATATTTAATTTGTACAATAGCCGAGCAACTGAACTTTTGTCTGTGAATTGATTGATCCTCAAATAAACTTCCTTAGGGACATCAACAAAAGGCCAATTTAAAACTAGCTCCCTTCAAAGCAACAGAGCATTAAAGAGGTCTTGTTTCAAACATGTTTTTTTTTAACCACTTTTGATCACTAATGCAGTCATCTGAATAAAAATGTAAGTGCCTTGATTTTCACGAGGCTATTGTTAGCTATCACATAAAGTTTCTTTTCTTAATTTTTTAAAATTGCCCAATCTGTAATGAACTCTCATCCAAGAAAACAAAATCTAAAATATGTACATGAATTTATTTTTCTTTGCATTGTATTGGACACAATTCTAAAATATAGCATGGAGGACACTATTTCCCAGGATATAACATTATGTCTAGCAGAGGAAAAAATAAACAGCAGGGACTCTAGCATTAAATTTTCATATCCAACAGCACCAAGGAAACCAAATTATTATACCCATTTTTTGTAAATTAAATTCTGGATCTATACCAGCAATTACAAGTTCAAATTCCACAAGGGCTGGTACTGTTAGGCATCCTTCCCGGCTTTCAAAGGCCAGTACTAAATTTAGACGCAGGAAAGTTGTATGGTTATTGGTTACTTTGTTATTATTGCCTAATTAAATCAATGTTAATAATGGACCTTTAATTTCACTTGATTCTTGAATATCGGGATAGTATATTTTATAGACACAAATCTCCACTTCAAAGCTACTTACTCCTGACATATGGTTGTGGAAAAAAAATAAGATGCTGCAATATATCTATAGTCACTTAGACACATGGCACCAGACACCAAGGCCTGAATCACATTTGTGAAGCATCACGCCATATTTTTCACCCACTAACATATGTACATGTAACAGGTTACATCCGCAAACTCAATTGTTCCTAAAGAAGTGTCCAAGGTACATGCTGTAGTTTCAATACTGATCTTCAGATCTATTGTACTCTATGCTTTTGAAATGCCAAAGCTGAAAAGACCAAGTTATGAAAAGGAAAAGGAAAGTAAGAATAGTGCGAATAAAGTTGGAACACACATGTCAGGCTTCTTTCTGCCTTCCCCATTCCAAAGTACTTTCTGAAGAGCAGGTGGTGTTATTGTGAAAAGATCACACATTTGTCAGTAACTGTGTAGGATTTCAGCACTGTTAAAACCTAGCATTTCAAATATAGGACAATTAATAAAATTTCATAAACCAAATAAAATCTAAAGCTCCAAGATACTTTGAAAATGAACATGGCCATTCAAATGCGAGTGCCCGTGGTTAGTCCTTAAAAACTGACCTTCTAGTCCTGCCTTTTGAAAACTGCAGAATAAAATACTTTTACAGTAACCAAAATGCACATCTGGCAGCAAAGACATATTTAAAATGCCACCACACTTTTAAAAGAAGAGCAGAGATGTGTGGTACAAGAGGACATCTCCTATTGCCAGGGTATATTCTCAGGGGTTACCAGTTAATAATCTTTCTGTAAAATCAAACTGCAGATCTTTGCACTTTCCTGTGGCATTTTAAAAACACAGCTATAGGTAAAAATTAAGAGAATTTAAAACATATTATATTAATAAAATACACTATAGGACAATATAGAAAAATCATACTGCATATATTTTTTAGTTTTACCATATACAGGTTGACTGTTATTCCCACATAAAAAAACAATCCAAAATTGATCAGATTTAATCATGAAGCACACAAAAAAGGGCATTGAATGCCACATATTTGTATGGTTGTCTTTCCCTTTCTCACTTCGTTGAAAACGTTTAAATCTAGAGATGGTGGGGTCTAATCCTTTTAAGACTCAAAGATTCCTCAGAACTCTCTAAGAATATCACCCTGGATTATAAGAATATTTTATATGCAAGTGGGCTGTTTTCTAACATTAAAAGGTGCATTTATTATCAGCATCTTCTCTACGAAGAACTTCTACCACAAAAAAAGGCAAGCTTAAGGCTCTTATTAATAAACTTGCACAAGCAAAAACAAAGTCATGACTTTCTACAGGCTAAATGATCAGTTCCCTGGTGAGCTTTCAGAGGAGCCTAACCTGAGAAGCAGGCTATCACAAAAGTAGGCTTCAACACAAACCCATTTCCTAATGAGGCAGTGAGGTTCTTTACAATGTGGTAAGGAAGAGCTAAGGGACACTGACAAAGTTTCATTTGAGGGAATCGTGGCAGTTTTCCTCTGGGGAAACAGAGCAGGGAAGACCAGGCTTATCATTGGAAGTATGTGTGTTTAAAAATTAATTTCATTATATTATCAAATTGCAGTTCTTCAGGGAACTGGAACTTGCTTTAAATTAGATTCAGGGAGACGCATCAAACTAAATAGCTTACATATGAGACACACTCACATAAAAAGAAAAACACTGGAGACCAAAGCTCCTTAAAATTTTTTGGATTATATTCCAACTTGGGGGGAGGGGAGAATGCTTTCTACCTCTAAAGCTCAATCGTTACATTTCCAAAAGATTTCTGCAGTTCATCCAAATTTGATAGGGCAAGATTTAAGTGCCTATTAGTGTTCCTGACTGGGCACTTCTGCTGCTTTGGCACATAAACAGTATTCCAGTATCCAATGGGATATGCAGTCTAACACAGCTTTAAGCTGGCAACACTCCTGAGTAGTTTTAAGTGTTTATCAACTCAGTAGGTCAAAAGTCTGCAGACACTGGGTGGAGCAGCAGTAAGCTACAAAACTCACAGTTGTCCTCCTGGAAGAAACAAAAAGGAAAGAGAAAACATGTCAATTGAAGATAAAGTAAATTAGTTTTCTTGTATTACAAACACTTGTTCATTGTTAAAATATAAGGTGAGGCAATTTAAAAAAAAGAATGTATTTTTTTTCATAAAAGCAACAGCAGTTTTGTTTTTTTGTTGTTGTTGGTGTTAGTAATTTTTTCACTCTCTGAGTTAACATTTCAGAGATGGTCAGTCTCTTTGCTATATTCTAACTTCCCTTTAAAAGAAATGAAGGATTGATCACATGACAGAGGCTTCTTTTGAGAAATAATGTCACTTTGTGACACAACAGAGAACATTAGCAGCTAGGCTAGTGTGTACAATGTAGTGTTTGAATTTGTACGTTGTCTTCCCATCCCTGCCTCTTAGAATCCTTAGTTTCCTTCAAGGCTTAACCTTATTTTTCTAGATCAGAAGTTCTTTTGTTATCACTCTTTGGCAGTCTGGTGAAGCCTACGGACCCCTTCTCAGAATTATGTTTGTAAATGCATAAAATAAAACACTTAGGGTTACAAACGAAATCAATTTAGTTGAAATACAGTTATCAACATTTTTTTTAAACAAGTTAATAGACTGAGGGGTTAGAACTTCTCTAGATGTTAGTGTTATCTCTCACCTCAAATTATTTTGTATTTACTTATCTAAGTGTTACACCCACTCATAGATTATATAAGCTCTTTTGAAAGTAGGGGCTGAATTTTTTTTGTCTATGTAGGACCAAGGCCTACTAAAGTGCCTTGTACAGAGGATATGTGCTTAATAAATGCTTGTTGAATAGAACTGAGATGATGATATTTGAATAAAAGTGTTTTTTAAACAACTTTATAATGCTTGATATTTTTCATCAACTTTACAGGTCCCAGAACATCCAGAAGGAATGAATCACAGATTCTTTTGAATCAGCAAGGAGGTACCTAACAAATCATCTGCCCCAACTTTCCATGCAAGGCATGGATCTCTTTTGCAACATTTGAGACGACTGGGCACCCAGTTTCTGCTTGAACACTCTCAGTGATGGTGAACTTGCTTTTGTAATCATGCTCATTCCACTGTTGGACAGCTCTAAGTGTTGGAAAGTTTTCCTTCTGAGTCAAGAATCTATCTCTCTTCTATCCACTGGTACTAGTTCTAATTTCTAGAGCTATCGATTAAGTCTATTCTCTCTTCCATGTGACAGTCCTTCAAATATCTGAAGACAGCTATGATGTTCCCTTGCTTTTTTTCTTCCAGTGTAAACATTTCCAATTTTGTTATCTGTTTCTCATATGACATGTTTTCCAGAAAACTTATCCTATTTGTCCTCAAATTTGTCTACATCCTCTTCAATTGGTGCCCAAGACCTTGTATCAGCCAACTACCTATCAGACATCTCAAACTGGATGACACACAGATAGATATCTCAAACTCAACCTGTCAAAATCAGAAATAATTCTGCCCCTGTCCCCAATCTTCCTAACTTCCTTTTTCCTGCTTAGGTACTAGCATCCTTTCAGTCACCCAAGCTTGGTGTCATCCTTGATTCTTCACTCACACTCGTCCCATATATTCAGTTTATTGTTGTCTTTTCGTTTCTATCTTAACATTTCTGGTACATAACCAACCCCTTCTCTCCAAACACATAACCACCACCCTTATAGAGACATCGTCACCTTAATGTCTGGACTAGTTCAATAGCCTGCTGCTTGGTGTCTCTGCTTCAAGTCTCTTCCAATTTCAGTCCATCTTTCATTTAATTGCCAAAATGATCCTCCTAAAGCACAGGTCTGACCAGGTCACTACCTACTTAAAACACTCCAGTGGCTCCCCATGACCTCCAAGATTAAACATAAAATTCTCTGTTTGACTTTTAAAGCCCTTCTCAAACTGGCCCCTTTCTTCCTTTTCAATCTTCTTACCCTTTACTCTCCTCCATGTACTCCATTCTTCTCACAGGGCACTCCATCTCCTAATTCCATGCCTTTTGATTGGCTGTCCCCCAAGCCTGATGCCTTCCCTCCTCACCACTTCACTCTGGCTTAATTTAACACAGCTCACATCCAACCTTCTACAAGAAACTTTTCACATTCCCCTTTCCTTCCCTCTGAGATTACTTTTCATTTTCACTATCCATATCTTGTACATATAGAGTTGTTTGCATGTTGTCTCCTCCATTAGAATGTGAATTCCTTGAAGTCAGGGGATTTGTTTTTGCCTTTCTCTGTATCCACAATGCTTAGCATAGTACTTGACTCCACAGTAAGTGCTTAATAAATGCTTGTTGACTAACTGAAAACACTTCTAGTAGGGTCTAACTAGTGTAGAGAACAGTTGAATCTATTACCTTGCTTGAACTGGATACTTCACTTCTATTAATGCAGCCTAAGATTATAAGGGCACATTTTAAAATCTGAATGAAGGAGCTCTACGCTTTGTGCAGCTTTACCTGACTCTCTGAACTAAAAGTATCCTTTACTGCTTCACACATTCCATCCACCCTTTATCTGGACTGCTCTCTTGGCTCATTATCTCATTAATATATTTATTTTTTAAAAATCGTGTACCTCGGCCGCAGAATGCAAGTTTCTTGAGGGCAGAGGCAGTTTAATATTTTGTTTTTGCCTACTGAGCACCTTACACTGTGCCTTGAATCTAGTAGGTACCTCATAATAATCGTAAATTTTAGGCTTCAGTTTTTGTACAATGATTTCATAGACTAGAGCAGAGGCAGGCAAACTATAGGCCACAGGCCAACTCTGGTCCACTGCCTGTCTTTATATAACCCGAGAGCTAAATAACCCTTCTTGGCCTGCCAGTCATATAAAGACAGGTGGTGGCCTAGATTTGGCCCACAGGCCACAATTTGCTGACCAATGGACTAGAGGCCTTCCACTGCTAAAACCTACTATTCTCTGGCATGCTGCTTCTAATCTGCTGTTGGCTGGAAAATAAAATAATTATGCTTATTAGACCCATGTTTAAAATAAGAATGAGCTCTCGAAGGGGCCTGAGGGATCGTCCTGTTGTTAGTTATCAAAGTTATGTTCTATCCTTAAAAAAAAACCAAACCAAACCCCCAAAACTCTTCACTTGACACCGTTACCCTCCTTAAGCTGCTATCTCTCCACTAACAAACTGTTGTTAGAAATATTCTATGCCCTACTTCCTTTTCATCTACTTACTCCTTAATCTTTTGTAATCTGTCTTCTGTCCCTATCATTCTATTGAAACTTCTGCCTCTGAGGTCAACAGTAACATGTTTATCACCAAATGGTAGAGCAGTGAATAGAGCGCTGGGCCTGGAGTTAGGAAAACTGGAGTTCAAATCTTGTCTCAGACACGTACTAGCTATGTGACCCTGGGCAAGTCACCTAACTTGTCTGCCTCAGTGTCCTCCACCATAAAATGAGGATCACAGCAGCACCTACTCACAGTATTTTCGTGAGGATCAAATTAGATAATATTTGTAAAGCATTTAGCACAGTGCCTGGAACATAGTAGGGGCTTAATAAATGTTATTACCTTCTTCCCTTCCCAAATAAAATGGCCTTTTAAAAGTTCTCCTCATCTTTGACTTATCAAGAGCATTCAACATGGTTGACTATTTCCTCTCAATTAATATTTTTTCTTGCCTTGGTCTTGTTGACCATTTATTCTCATGGTTCTCCTTTTCTGTCCTGATTAATGGTTCCCCATCCTCTTATCTCCAAGACTTCATCTTTGGCCCTCTTTTCTTTTCTCTCTATAGTCTCTCACCTAGTAATCTAACTTACTCCCATGACTTTAAATCATCAATGAAAACTTGGATCCTCAACTAATAAAGATTAAATTATGGTCATTGTGGCTTACTTTCTAGGGTAGAAAAGTGAACTAACACTGACTATTGTACAGTAATTTAGATATTAGAAATTGGGATTAATATGAACAGACCCTAAGAAATACAGAAAGTATTTGGGAATTTTCTTTTTGAATAAATTCCTGGTAATAGCTTGATTTCTCATCTTTTTTTTTTTAACTTTAGAGTAGAAAAATTTAAATTAATTGAGGGTTCTGAGTTTTACTGCACACTTCAAAAATGTCATTATAATGAATAAACACAAGCAAGCTATTCTCACAATAAAATTCAACTAAAATTTCAGACTTAGATAATACTTTAGCTAAACTTTATAAGAAAAAAGACAATTTATGATAGAAGTAGCCTCACAATTTGTGTAGGAAATATTAAACATTTATGACATTTTAAATTTCAACAATATGACCAATTTGAAAAAGGATCTACAAGCTATATACAATCTGCTTAAGCTGAAAATCTGATAATCAGAATCTCTAATGAAGAACAAGTTGAACATTGCTTTCTTTACAAGTCACACAGCTTTCCTAAGAAAGCATTTCTAAAATAACATTTATGTAGATTTTTTGGCTTCTGACCAAATTTAGACTTTAGAACTTGTTTTTATTTCATAAACTCACATTGCTTATGATCAGAAAAGTATCTACTGCAGAGACTCAGCAAGAGATTCAGCAACATATCTTTGGAAAGATTATACATCTGCTTGAGTGAAACAAATGGAATGAATTCTATTTTTCTTCTTCCAACACTGCTGTTTGAAATGTTTTAAACCAGTAATAAATTAAACAAACTTTTGGTATTTTTACTTTAACTTGTTTCCTACTATTTTGTATAAGCCATCACTACTTCAGAATGATTCTACATTAAGTCATTAATTATGAGTAACAGAGCCCCCATATTTGCTGTTCTAGGATTAATTTATAAGTTTATATGAAATCATATGTGAGTGAAATAAGTCTCAAACAAATTGGTTTGAAATGCCAACTACATTTTTGGGAGTCAGCTGGCTAAACCTCCTTTTCTTTCTTCTAAGATAATTATGCAAATTGTAAATCATTTCACAGAAGGGATACATTTCACACCTCTACCCTTGATTTTTTTTAAAAAGAGAGTCTTTAAGTAAAAGAATCCAAATCTATAAAGAGT